CAAGTATATGATGAACATAATCCTATGTTTAAGTTGCAAAAACTTAATTGTTCTGTCTTTTCTCTCTCATAGTGGGTTGTTCTCTTTCCATTATTTACCCAGGAAAAATTTTTTTCTCTTTTGCTTTTAGTATTTCTAGAGGAGACAAGTACTTATACAAAGGCTATGGTGTTTGCCAAGAATGGATTTTAATGGAAACCTTTAGCCTAAGACAAACCTTTAGAGCAGTAATGGACGATGTGTTCTACATAACCTTTCAGCCTTCACTCTTACATTTACTGTGATCAAGTCATTTGAGCAAAGGGTTTCAAGCCAGTGATCACGTATTTTTCTTAGCTATTCATTTCTCTTACAAAATGATGTTGAACAAATCCATTAATTTTTTTTTGTCTTGTCTTCATATACTGAACTCTAAAATGAGAATGCCTGTAATTAATCAAAAATTCAGTTTTTACTGATAGATAGCAAAGAACTAAACAATGGATCAAGAATTCTGGTCCTGACTTTCATGGTGTAATTGTGAGGTCTTGACTGTAATACTTAAATTCTCACATGTCAGTGTCCTCAATCTAAAAATCATAATAATATCTGCACTGTCTAGTTCAAAAAATACATAGGAAAGCATTTATAAAACTACAGAACGGTAAACACAAAACGTTATTATTGAATTACACTTCCAGCGTTTAGTGCTAAAAATGCGGAATGCTTCCTTTGATTTTATCTAGGAAAAATATCTCTGAAAATCAATTTAAAATTATAGAAGCTAAGAGATAAGTCCTTTTAAGTTTGTGGTTATGTTCTGCATGGCAGATTTTTAAGTGGTAATTATTAATGCATTTTGCGGGGAGGGTATAGCTCAGTGGTAGAATGCACTCTTAGCACGCACGAGGTTCCTGGGTTCAATCCCCAGTACCTCCATTAAAAAAATAAACTCAATTACCTCTTCCCAAAAAAAAAGGAAAAAAAAAGAAGAAAATTATTAATGCAGTTTTCTTGTACTGTTTCCTAAATTCCATTCTTTGAAAAGTTTTCTAAAGTTGTATTTGTAGTCTCCCTGAAGTCCTGGGGATGCTCTTCTGAGTTTTTTATTTTTTAAATCTAAAATGTCCAAGGTAAGATTTCATACGGGAGACAACTATTAATATAGGAAATAGAAAGTAGTGGAGTTGCTCTACTTAAAATAATTGCCCCCTAATGGAGACATAGAATACAAACTCCATTTATAATGAGAGGGAACAAATGGAGAGGAGGAGAATCTGTCGAAAGAGATTTGCTTGACAAATATACCATATCTGCTTTGTGAAATTACCAAGTGCCTAAGGACTAGAAAAGTACTCACATACCCCCTATGAAGAGGATCCTTTGTTTTCCTTGATCTCTGGCCCTTAAATAGTGTCTGGATATTCTCATATTAACTCTCTGGAGGTATGAACTTTTCATAGATTAAAAACTGCTGATGTAGGACAGCCATGTGATTAATCGAGACACCAGAAATACAAGCAAGCTGGCAAAATGCTTATTCTGGCAGCTTTGTAAATGGGGCTCTTCAATAGGAAAAAATATCTCAACCCTACCCCTTTACAAAAGTTCTTTCTATATCTCAGCCTTCACTATCTAAACCTAAATAGAATTCCTTTCTATTTTCAATCCCCTTTCAACAAAGTGAAAGCTGAATATACACACCAGTTTTTGTCTTTTATCCATCAACACTCTAGTTGAAGGCAAACTACACTGCCTGTTAATCTCAAGTGGGATAAACCCTTCTGACTTTTCCCTCACACCTACTCTGAGTGTGTTTATCACAAAAGTTTAGCTTAGGCAAATGATCTAGTTTGCAGAGATGGTACTGCCTGTTTCTCTGGGTGACCTTGAGCAATCTCTCAGATTCTTTTCCTAGAGAATGTGATATAATTAATAAAGATCTATGTGATCTATCTTATCCAAAATAATTTTTTTGTTTTTGGTTGATTTCTTGATTGTCAGGCAGACCTTAGATTCAAAGTACTAAAAAGAGCAGCTTTTATTTGTAAAGTTAAATATTCAACACAGTATTGTTTATAACTAAGAATATAAAGGAATTTGACTTAGTTTTTCATGAGACAAATGAGCAAAATCCTACACATTAATACAAGTAAAATGCAATTGATGCCACGCTATGTCACAAAGGAACTATAAAGATGTACAAGAAATAATTCCTGATTGCAAGGATCTTATAGCCCAGTAATTACTTGCTACAACCTTCTCTTAAAAGATGCAATTCAAAAAACAATTGAGAGTACTCCATGTACAAGGCATGATAAAAATAAAAATAAAAATAAATAATTAATAATAATAATATCTCTATTGCAGTGTCCTAAATAATATCTCTGAAATATTGTGGTTATCAATTAACTTTTTGTCTTCATCTTTTAAAAGTCAACAAATTTTATAAGATATATTAAAACAAATAACATTCAACTGTAGATGACTTCTCTGTATGTACCTCCATACTCTAAACAACATGCTTGTGTTGTTATATCACATTCTTTTAGGTGTGGGCGTTCTCTGTTGTCTTCCCTCGCTCCACCATAATTAAACACATACACACGCAATCAGTTCTCATTCCTCATCATCATAATATAGGGATTAGATAAATGTATAGTGTTTGTATTATTATGAGTATAGATGCTTTCAGAGCAGAGTAGTCAACTATGATCACTTCTGCAAAATGTTTTGCTTTCACTGGAGTTAATAATTTCCATGTATGTTTAGTTAATTTTCTAAGCACTAATTCAATCAAAAATTCTGCCCATTGTTTAAATTTATTAATGTATTCGGTCAATTTCATCTTCCTAAATATTTCTGTGCCAGAGCCTCTGACCTGCACCAACTTGGACTGGTTGCATAGCTATCAGCCTAGGATCTCCCTTGGCAAACGTCTTGGAGATTCCTTTCACTTCTCTCTGAGGATAAACGTCCTGTTTTGAGGGAACACAACCTTCAGTAACTCCATGAGAAAGGATATGTACATGGAAGTAAATTCTTTTGAGATTTTGCATGTCTGCAAATGTCTTTTTTCCCCCCTCTACATATCTACTGAGTATAGAATTCTAGATTAGAAATAATTTTCCTTCATGATTTTGAGGCCATTTCACCATTGATTTTTGTTTTCTAGTATTGCGTCTGAGGAATCAAAAGACATTCTGATTCTTGATCTTTTGTATGA